GCGCCGCACTCCGCGAACCCGCGAGGAAGGTCCTGCGACGGAAAAGCCCGCCGCCCCTGGAGCCGGAAGGGACCCCAGCAACGCGCAGGTGCCCCGAGAGCCTGAGCTCGCCCCTGAAAAAGCGCCTCTGCACCTCAGGACGGTAGCCAGTGTTGGGAAAAACGGGACGGGGCCGAGCGAGCCGGCAGGCTGCCTCGGAACCCGCCGAAGATAAGAACCATGAACGAGGGAAAGAAACAGACTCGTCACCCGTCGCTCGATCGCGCCCGCAGAGGGAAACATCCTGTAAGCTGCAGAACGAAGAGCTGTGCTACAGACCGAATCTTAAGGGAAAAATGACCCACCAATCGTTTGGCTCTAAGTTCCCTCCGTATGTGTTTAAAGTACGACGCTGAGAAAAGGGTCATCTTTTTCTGCGCCCGTTCTCCCTCCCACTTTCTAATTTCTGCCGCAGGCGCCATCTTTAGTTCTGAGTCACCCGGGATGGAAAATACCAGACCGGTCACCCGCACGCACGTCAGTTTCCTGCAGTTGTGGGCCTCCGCTGCGACCTGTTGCTGCTTTTGTGTAGTGAGAACGGCAGGCGGATTGCTTTGGAGGCCAGCTTTTCCATTCCCAGTCTCATCACCGTGCCTCACAAAGCGTCTCTCATTTGTTTTTCCAAGCCCTGGAAGGCGGAAACTTACCAACCTAACGCGGTCACCCCTCCGCTCAAAACCTTTCTGTGTTTCTCTTGGTTTAAGCCACCACCATCCAACCAGTATTGTAGTTAAGATACCCGTAGAGTGTCCTAAATACCTCTTAGACCAAACCATGTCCATCCTACCTTTGTAACATCCCCAGTGTATAGCTTATCCGTCTTAACGCGCCCTGCCTGATGCCCGCCTTCGTGGCTTCTCGCGGGGATTATTCTAGGAGGGCCTCTTCTGCAGTCCCCTGACTCAGGCTCTGACCCCTGAATTCCAGTCTCCACATCGCTTACCAGAATGACCTCACTAAAAATGTGAATCTGATAATGCCACTCTCCTGAAAATTCTTCAATGATCTATCTGTAGGCGAAAACTCTAGCTATTTTGCCTAGTCCAGCTCCCTGACTCGTTTAGTTTCTCATTGCCTCGTTTCAGTTTTATGCTTCAGCAGTGTTGAAGTAGGCACACAACGGTATCTTTTCACGCCCCAGTTCTTGCACACATTGTCCCCTTTCTCTGAAAAATCCCTCCTTGTAAACTTCTGCATGTCTCAGCCCAAATGTTGGCCATCCTTTGAGTTTTAATGAGGTTGACTAATTCCTCTAAACACTCCTGCTATATATATATACACATATACATATACACATATATATATATATATTGTTATGCTTTCGACACTCATTCCATAAAATATTTTAATTGTTTGCATTGTACTTTAATTTTTCTAGCCCCAGCACCAACTATAGTATCTATCAAATAGTCGGTACATAAACATTTGAGGAGTAATATATGACATATATAGGGGGAGCAAAAGTAGGTTTACAGTTGTGATTACGTGAAACACCATCTATTTTTGTATTATTATTTATTAATTATTGTATTATTTATTTGTATTACAACTGTGANATATACACATATATATATATATATTGTTATGCTTTCGACACTCATTCCATAAAATATTTTAATTGTTTGCATTGTACTTTAATTTTTCTAGCCCCAGCACCAACTATAGTATCTATCAAATAGTCGGTACATAAACATTTGAGGAGTAATATATGACATATATAGGGGGAGCAAAAGTAGGTTTACAGTTGTGATTACGTGAAACACCATCTATTTTTGTATTATTATTTATTAATTATTGTATGATTTATTTGTATTACAACTGTGTNAGCAAAAGTAGGTTTACAGTTGTGATTACGTGAAACACCATCTATTTTTGTATTATTATTTATTAATTATTGTATTATTTATTTGTATTACAACTGTGAACCTATGTTTGCCCACCCCTATAATAAGCTCTTTCTAGGAGCTATGCATTATAGATGTGTAATGTACTTTCCATCTGTCATTACAACTGTGATTTAAGTACCTACTTTTACAAAGAGAGGTTACAACTCTGGCTGTGCATTCTTAGTCAAGTATTATTTTCATAACACATAGCAGGAGTGGCATTTAAAAATATATAGAATTGCCCAGGCTGGGGTTTCTGGGTAAAAAAAGGTGGGGTATCATGTTGACTAAAAGAAAGCTTGACATAATCCAAGGACTGAAGTAAAGTCAGCATGATGAAAAGTAAAAAAAGGAAGCTAGGTGGTATGGGAGAAAGTAAGACGAGAGGAAAGCAAGATATGAAGAGACTCGGACAGCATTATAGGGTCAATGAAGTACCACTAAAATGTTTTAATCATGGAGTGAAATGGTCACATTTTAATTTCAGAAAGAAACTCTGGCTGCAGTGTGGAAAATGGATGGGAAGAAAGCAAGTCTAGATACAGGGATATGAGGTAAGATGCTGATATTGTAAGTCATATAAGAGAAATCCAAGATCGAGGTGTCAGCAGGGTTGGTCTCTTCGGAGGTCTCCCTCCTTGGCTTTTAGATGGCTGCCTTCTCCCTCTGTCTTTGCATAGTCTTTCCTCTGTACTTGCCTGTGTCCTAATCTCTTCTTAGAAGGACGTCAGTCATATTGGATTAGGGCCTACCCTAATAACCTAATTTTAACTTAATTACCTTCTGAAGTACTGGAGATTAGGATTTCAACATACTAATTTTGCAGGAACAGCTCAGCCCATAACCCTGCTGGAGTAAGGTTCTGAAGGCAAAACAAAATGTAACGAGTGGTTGTTTTGATTCTCATTATGCACAAACCAACTATATAGCAAGACATGTTCTAGACACTCAGGTTTTTCAATATGGACTACGTAGTAGATATTAAGGAATCTTTGTTAATTTCTTAATAGATGATATAATCATATTATGGTTATGTAAGATTATGATTTTTTTTAAAGTACATAGACTAGATTGGCAAGATGTCTGAGATTTTCTTTAAAATATCTCCTTGCCACCCCCTACCCCCCCAAAAAAAAACAGTTTGTGGAAAGATGATACATGTATATCTAAAATGTGGTTGTTGTTGAAGCATTGTTCCCTTTCTCTGAAAATCCCTCCTTGGTTGATAGATATCTGGTATTTTATTATACTTTTTCTTTGTGTGTTTAGAAATCTTCATACTAAACAGGAATAATAAAAGTAGGAAAACTCATATTATGGAGAATTGAAAGATATAGCACCAGGAAAAAAGGAAAAAGTACTTAGTACCACTACCCAAAGAGAATTTCAATCAGCTTTTTTTTTTAAATATATCTTTATTGATTTCAGAGAGAGGAAAGGAGAGGGAGAGAGAGAGAGAGAAACATCAATGATGAGAGAGTCATTCATCGAGCCCACAACCCGGGTATGTGCCCTGACCGGGAATCAAACCCCGATCATCTGGATCCCAGGTTGACGCTCAACCGCTGAGCCACGCCTGGCCGGGCTCAATCAGCTTTTTTTGTTGAACTTCTTTTCAGTCTGCTTTTCATGCATATTCTAATTTTGGTCATTCCCTATGTAAGATGTTTATTTCTGCATTCTTGAATTAACATTATGTTATAATTTTATTTCCATGCTATTATGTATGCCATATAAACTTCATTAAAAATTCTAACTTTGTTAATAATGTTCATCTGTGCTCATAGTAAAAATTCAGTCATCCAGATGTTCATAATGTAGATGCTGAAAGCCTGTCGTATGTTAATCACTGATAGGAGTCTTTTATACATTCTTCCAGACTTCATTTCATGTATATATACTAAACATACTAAATTAGAAAGGCAGTTGCACACTACAGTTTCATTCCACCACCTTTTTTTGTCTTTGTCAAGTATAATTATCTTAGAAGGCTTTTTATGTCAGTGATATGTATCTATCTTAATCATTTTAATGGCTTCATACTACAGCATTTCTATTCCAGAGCTTCTTAATCAATTATAATAAAAATGCCAAAAGGTATTATGATGGTGGTTTTTAAAAAAAATTTAGAGCTTTTCTATAAGTCTCTCATTATTAAATTTATTCCTCAGTATTTTATATAATTTTGGTACTACTTGGAACACAGTAACTTATTATATTTTCTAAATCAGGAAAATTGCACATTTTTAATTGCACATTTATATTTAATAAATCAGGAAAATTGCACATTTTCCTGATTTTCCTTCTTCTAGGTCTCATTTGCTAGTTTTTGCTAAACTACTTGACCTCTTGATATAAGAGTATCCTAGAGCTAGCTAACTTTTTGGACCTCTTCTCTATCTACACTTACTTGGTTGGTGATCTCTTCCAGTACCTGTAGTCCCATTGACATATAGACTACTCCCAAAGTATCTCCCCAGCCCCTTCTTCTTTCCTGAACTTCAGACTTCACATTGAACTTCAACTGCTTGCTAGACATCTCCACTTAGGTGTCTGATGGGCATCCCAAGCTTAGCTTTTCTGGCACTGAACTCTCGATCTTGGCCTCCTCAGACAAACCCACTTGCAGCTTTCTTTCTCACATAGTGACAATTCCATTTTTCGAGTAACTCAAACCAAACATCAAACACCTTGGAGTAATCTTTGCCCTTTCTCCTTTCTTATACCCCAGGTTTGTCTAGATTTGAACGCAAATCCCACTTAAGTGAGGCTATGTTTATAATTCGGAGGGGAGTGTTTTTTTCTCTCTACTCCAACTTTAACCCAGACATTCAGGCCTTCTGGTATCCTTTTGCTGGTGTAGTCTTTTGAAGGTTCCAGTTTTATGTGAAGATTTTAGTTCCCACACTGAATAAGGCCTCATATCCTATGATTTGGAAGGCCATTACATTCTAGGATTATATATAGGGTATCAGTGAATGCCCCAAGGGGTAGGAATGCCTTCAGTCCCTGCTTATCACTCTTGTTTAAGATCTCTTGTCTTTGGGTTCCTGAATATTTCTTTTACTTTTTCAGTGAGCTCAATGATGCAAATTAGTCAGCGTTATTAGCTGATTTTCAGAAAAAAAAATTTTTTCTGCAAAGTATTTCTTTGACATATTGCATAAAAAGGAATTCGTTCTCTTTCAAGTCTTAATACATGTTGCTGGGAATTTTATGAGTTAAGAGTAATTTCCTTCTCATTCAAATTTAGCAGATGACTCACTGAATAATTGAACCTTCCTTATAAACTTCCTATGGGAAGACATGCTAAGATAACTTGAGCCTATAGATATGGGTTAGGTCAGAATTCATTGAACATCCCACAGACTATAAAGCTATTTATAAATTTGTTGTCTACATGAATACCGTTTTATTAGGAAAATGTTTTTATTTAGGTCTCAAAGGGCTCCATAAAAAAACAGGCACTGCTGCAAAGACTAGGAAAAGAATTAAAAAATTTTCATGTTAACTATGCTCATTCTAGATCTAAAGCAATGAGCACTAGATGGCAGCAAACCAATATATATCATTATGGGTGCCTAAAAGATCACACTTTAAAGTTATGTAAGTCCTTATTATTACATCTTATTATTTACTCATTTGCTATCCAAACCATTTAATTTACTGATGCTTAATCTACTAGTTCCAGTTTATAATAGTTGATGAGATGCATTAAACCCCAGGGCTGAAAAATATAGTTTCTAGATGAATAAATATAGCACAGAATGATTCCTGTACCACCAAAGTCTGTATAGAACACTCACAAGAATCTAGAGCCCTTTTCTATCATAAAGACTACTCTCTAGACAGCTCATCTGCCCTCTGTGATGAGAGGCCCTCTGAATGAACAAAAGACACATTTCAGATACTCATTCTGGTCCTGAGTTATAAGGCCTTTTGTGGCTGTTAATGCTTAAATTTTCATCTTATTGTTCAAATGTTATGTATTTAGTAGCTTGAGAATCAGCTTCATCTCTCTTATGAAGTTTGAAAAGAGGGGTTTCCCAAGCATGCTATGAGTAACTACCAGGCCTGAGGCACACAGATTAGATGTCTCTACCACAAGTGAGAAGGGACTTTCCTTGTTTTCACATTTAAGATTATATAATTAGTATTTAAAATAAAAAATACATAAATTTTGTATATAATTTAGCTTCATGATTCCATTGTTTCCTCTCCTAACCTGGGATAATTTATAATTTTATGCCTTTGAAAGTGTTTAGAATAAATTATTATTAAAGCGAGACATTAACAGTACAGAAAGACTTGTAAGGGGAAAATGACAAATCCCTGGTTCACCACTTCCTTCCCAAAGTGCTGCTCCTGAGAGTAATCTCCTTTAAACAGTTTCTGCTTTTGTTTCTTCTGGTGATTATTTCTGTTAAAGAGAAAACCACAGGTCCAAAATGCTGTCACTTGTACCAGTGCCCATGATACCAAATCTAGATTTAATACCTGACCTAACTGTTGTATTAACCTTTCTTAGAAACATAATCTCAGTCGACCAATCTAGAATTTTCTGGTCAAGCACCAGTAAGGTAATTAGTCACTTGGGCCCGCTCCATTCCTCATAGAAAGAAGAGGTAATCTGCATGATAAAAAACCTTGCCGCCTTCTCCCCTGCCCCAGGAAAAACGTGAGGTCCTGGTCTAAAAATAATCCATTCTCTTCTTTTGTTAATAGCTCCCTTGCCCCACCCTTATTCCTATAAAATCTTTCCATTTTGTACAACCCCTCAGAGTTCCCTTCTTCTTGCTTGATAGGATGCTGCCTGGTTCATGAACCACCTAATAAAATCAATTAGATCTTCAAATTTACTCAGTTGAATTTTGTTTTTTAACACCTGTCTACCTCTTATCACTATTTCTTAATTTGTTGCTTAAATACTGCCTTAGTCTACTGCTAAGAGAGAGTTTAACTCATTTGCGTCCCCTTCTACTTTCTTTACCCATCTCTTCCCTGCGAAGTCTTATAAAGAGGCAATAGAGTATAATAAATAAGCCACATATGCTCTAGAATCCTACTTCTGCATTTACTAGCTGTGTGACCTTAGGCAAGTTACTCAATCTCTCTGAACTTTTTTTGTAATCTGTAAAATGGAGATAATAGTAGCCCATTCTTTAGAGGATTATTATGAAGATCAGTGGGTCAATATATTTAAAGCACTAAAGTATTACATTTACTGTGGTTAATTCCTCTTTTGGTTATCCTTGTAAGTTTAGGTAATATACTCACCCCTTCATTACATATATTCATCTCTTGTCACCCCACTTTTTAAGATAAAGATATTGGCAATCTTACACTTCCCTTTCACTCTACCCCTTTTTCACACCTCAGTCTCACCCCCTATATTTTCTATCCCTTAACCGGTTGTTCCATTTTCTGGGAGATTTTTTCAAATTTGTCTTCTAACTAGCCATTAAAAATTTTACTTCAGAAATCTGAGAGTTTTACCTGATGTCTAGTGTTTATTTTTATAGGATTTTAAAGGTTCAAAATTTTAGTGAACTAT